GATGAAATTCGATATGTAGGTCTCGTATCTCGTAAATTGTCTGTTTCTGAGCGTAACTACAGTACTACGAAAAGGGAATTGCTAGGGATTTGCTATGCCTTGGTTAAGTTTCATCGTTTTCTGTATATGCGAGAGTTTACCTTACATACGGACCATAAGAGTCTGATCTACTTGAATACACAGGAAGTCCCCAATGCACTCATGCTTGGATGGTGGGAGACCATTTTTTCTTATACTTTCGATATTGTGCATTTGCCCGGTGTCCTTAACGTAATTCCTGATGCTTTATCTCGACTTTACGAAGATTCGGATGCTGATGCTTCAGCACGACATCTTCTGGGGGGCAGGTACTATGCTGATGGTGGTGAAAGTGTAAAAAGAAAGAAAAAGGGTTCCAAAAACAAACTCAAGGTTGTCACACCTTCGCCTCCAATGAAACGTACTTTGGTCAAGACAACTAAGGCGTTACGATCTAATTCTTTTAGCAACCATGCACGCACTGCGGTAAACGCTACTCTTATCAAAGATGGCACCACCACAGCTGTCTCGCAAAAGCAAAAGGAATTCATATTGCGTACGCTTAGGTTTGCTGACTATATCACTCCTCCTGCTAATGAAAGAGACAATATGATCATTGCTCAGCATCTGGTTGGACATTTTGGGATCAAACATGTTGAAACTGCAATTCATCATGAAGGGTTTCACTGGGTGAACATTCGGAAAGACATAGAAAGAATATTAGCTGATTGTGACGAGTGTAACAGGTACAATATCGCTAGAGAGGGATATCATCCTTTCCGTAGTGTCAATGCAGCCCAACCTTTGGATCATTGGTGCATGGATCTCGGTGATATGGGTGTTACTAGCTCTTTCGGCAGCAACTTTCTATTTGTCCTTACTGATTACTTTACGAGATTTACTGTGATAAGATGCATTCCAGACAAGAAGGCTACGACAATTGCCAGGGAAATGCTTCAAGTTTTCTCACTTTTTGGATGGCCAATCAAGTTGACTTCAGACAGAGGCCTGGAATGGATAAATGAGGTGGTCCGTGCTATGATGGACATCAGTGGGATAGACCATCGCCTGTCATTAGGGTACAATCCATTGGGTAACTCGGTTTCTGAGTCATTTATCAAAATATGTAAGTTAACGACTATCAAGTTGCTAAAAGGTAAGAGGGATCAATGGGAGCACTTCATTCCGTGGGTGAATTACTGCATCAATGTCAAGTATGCTCGGCTACATAAATCTCGTCCGTATACGCTTTTGTTTAATCGTCAACCAAATGGTCTGGCTGATTACTCAAAGGTGGACTATTCCAAACGTTTGGAGAAAGCTGATAACAGACTCATTGACAAACGATACCGTTTTGTACAAGATGTTCTTATCCCGGCTATTTCTAAGCGTATTGTGGATACACAAAATGCTGATCATGCTAACTTTGCGAAGAAACATAAGGTCATTGCCGAACCCTATCCTATTGGTAGTAAAGTTATGATTAAAAATGTTCATCGTCAAAATAAGTTAGATGAACGGTATGAAGGACCTTATTTGATTCATAGTATAACCGATAAAGGTTCCTATGTGCTGGCTGACAAGACGGGTGCACTCCTTAGTCGAGATGTGCCTACCCATCATATCAAGTACCAAGTCGCTGCGAATCCTCAATCAATCACAATTGATGAATTCTCTGCAGAGCATTACGAAATTCAAGCTGTGATTGATCATAGAGGATCTCCTGGTAACTATGAGTATAAGGTAAAATGGAAAGGGTTCGATGATCCTAGTGAAGATACTTGGGAGCCTGTGAAAAACTTTGATTCGGCCAAACACATTGAGTTGTATTGGGCTCGAAGAGAAGGTGCAAAGGCTGCTGGTAAACGTAGGTTAGCTCCTCAAACAGTTAACTGGCGAACTATTACTACTCGCGAAATTGGTCAGAGTGGTAGATCAAACAGGTCTTAAATGGCTACTAGCATGATGGGATCAAGTCTTTTCCTTACATTTTTGTCCTATGAAAGGTTTTTACACAAGGTTTTTACTGACTGATCTCGGATGCAGTGTCATTTGGTAATTATTTATTGGAAAGTGCTTTATGTGCTATATTGTCATGATGTTTTGTAATCTGAGATTACGAAATGTCCACAAGAAGTACCTGAATCTGGGGGGGCAATGTTGTGCCAGAAGGGCTACAACTGCCTATAAAGATTAAGGTATTCTTGATGGGTAGATATGTCTATGTTGTGCAACAACATGGACAAGCTATGATAAGTGAAGTGCATCTCAGCTATCTAAATACTGAGGTTCACCAGATGTGATAAGCGTTGTACAAGATAAATTGCTACTTTGGCATTCAGAACTTAGTATAAATAGAATAACTCTTGTCTTCATCAATAAATCTTTAGTTTTTGTGTCTGATCTTATTCAAATAAGTCTTTTCTTGTTTTTATAATATCGAACATTTTTTATAAGCTACAAATAATAATCCTTTTATTCTTTGTGCTTAACACAAACCATGTTTGTTTTGGAGTCCTTTTGATTGAAAATAACACTCTAGCTTCTGATAACACGGCCTTGCACAGTCAAAAGTACTTGATACTGCCTCTTTGAAGTGGAATACAGTAAGTATCATTCGATAACGAGCACAGAAAGATGTAGAACAAGCACTAATCGAATTTGTTTATTAGGTTTCGATATTTGTTTTGCCTGTTTGACGTAGGTGCTGCTGCCATCACTTCTCTGCTATATTTGCTGTCTGCTTCTTTAGTCTATTATGTCTGGTAGCGGCTTCTTGATCCCTATCTCGGGCGGTTGTTTCGTTAATCTGTCTGGTCTCTGGTGCCACTCGTTCTTCGGTTTTTCTACGCTGTTGTTGTTGCTGCTAGTATTGCTGCTGGTGTTACTTCTGATCTTGCTTCTGGTCTTGCTTTTGGTCTTACTGATGGTCTTGCTTCTGGTCTTGCTTCTGGTGTTGCTGCTGCTGTTAATACAGTCTTTCTGGTCTACTGTCTCTGGTGCATGCTCGTTCTGTGGTGTCGCTCGTTCCTCGATTTTTTTTACGGTGCTGGTGTTACTGCTGCTGCTGATAATATGGTCTTCCCTGATCTACTGTGTTTGGTGCATGCTCATTGTCTGGTCTATCTCTGGTGATTGTGTATCCTCTGGTCTATCTGTGGCTGTGGTAAGTCGTAAGTATCTTATTTCTTCTGGTGGCAATAGTATAAAACTTCTTTGAACGCTTATATTATTGCTTCCTTTCTCGTGATAATGCATTCATGATGTTTGCCTTGTTGCGCTTTTTTCTTCTTCTTTTCCTTTTGTTGGTAGTGTTTCCTCTGTAGCTTTACATGAAACAACATTAGTCATTATGTTGTAGCGGAAACTTATAATACCACTGTTGCTTTTGCAGTTGTGCGTATGTGTGTCATGTTGCTTTACATCCGACTATTGCTATCATGCACGTTGCTCATGCATGCATTTTTCTTGCAACAGCAACGTTCTTTTTTAAACATCTTTGATGTTGTGTTTGTTATGCTTTTCTTTGACTCGCTTCGTGTGAGTGTTTCTTTTTATCTACATACTACTATATTCTTATAGTATTATGTTCTTTTGTGCTTTCTTTTATTATTATTATGTTTCTTTAGAAGCATACTTTTTTTACGTTGTGGTGGATGTGCCTATCGCTGAAGCTCAACAAAACTTTATCCGAGGCTAGGAGGTAGATAGGCCGCCTCCACTTGGTTATCACTACTTACTTTAGTGATGATTGAGGGTCTCAACGCCAGAATCTAAAGCTAGGTGGTGTAAGTAAGGCATGCTCTAGTACCTGAGGGAAATTTGATGATAGTAACGGCTATATCGCTATATATATCGGAGCTTAAAATTTTGCCTCACATCAAAACAGAGGGAAACCCTCGCAAAATTTTTTTTAGGTCAGCGGAGTTTTCAAGCGATTTGATTGGCTCTGGAGTTGAAAGAGAAAAGGTCTACAACTAGTTGACTTTCTGTTGATATGCCATATAATATGATATTGTCCCTTGTAAAAAAAAGCCTGTAATTAAATAGAAACAATTTAAGTGTTTATTTATAACCAAATTAAAATGCAATCATTTGTGTAATGAAATAGCCATCCAAATGCAACTTGATTGACAACCGGAATGCATCAAATATCATTCATTCGAATTCATGCTATTTGAATGTACCAATAAGGCGCTCAAATGTGCATCAAAACACCAATTAAACATACTAAACTAAAGATGCATACTTATCCTCCCGCATATCGTGTGAATGAATCACTTCTGATCACAATGTATTCAACCACATCCATCATGATGGTCGTAATAAGTAATGTTGTATTCACACATATACCTGTTCCTGAATCACAGTATCGTAGATTGAATTTAGTAATAAACTATGCACCTATGGAGTATATGTAAATAAACTGTATCAACATGTAAACGATAGCCATGATAGTCACATGTGCTAAGTTTCAGTAAGCTATTCTCTATATGTCAAAAGATAGCAGATAAGGAATGTAAGTGATTAACGTTGCCAAGAGCAACTAAAGATATTTAGACTGATCATCTATATCTGAAATACTGTAGGGGGAAAAACTGTCCCGTTCGTTCAAATAATCTTGAATTTTACCCAGTATATTGCCAAAACTCAGAAAACAAAGCTACCCCATACTGCGTTCGATAGAACAGCTTATAAAGATTACAGCAACATAAAAACCTTATGGCTGGACTATATTTTAATCCCAGTATAACCAGCTAAAGTGAGACGTAGCAAAAATATTAGGTGGGTAATTCTAGACGATATAAAGTGGTTGATATCTTTACTTCCAATAAACGTATCGAAGAAATCTAAAAAACTACCCGCGGTATGCTCAGGATATCTAATATTCTAGGAGCATTCTAAAAGTATAAAAGAAGCTAGTTTTTTCATGTTTTTTTCTTTATTTCTTTGCTTTCTTATTTTTTTTCAAAACTTTCATTATGCCTGCTCGTTTAACACAAGATTTGCGCAACACTCTCCAATCTTTGCTCCAACGTGGTCTTTCGTTCTCAAAGATAAGAAATTTGTATCCAGGAGTGGGTAATTCTACTCTTACAAGACTCAGAAAACTATATTGCCCTGACCCAGCTAGACCTCTTGGCGGAAGACCGAAAAAACTTGGTGCTGAAACTATGTCCCTAGTGTCAAGAGGACTTCGATCAGGTGCTTTAGATGATCCCCGAGTAGCACAAGAAAGTTTAAGATCGATGGGCCATGATATATCAATTAATGGCATCCGCAAGTCATTGAGACGAAATGGACTTAAATCTCGTAGAAAAGTAAAGACCAATTTTGTTAGCAAGACAAACAAGCGGCTTCGATTGGCGTGGGCTAAAAAGCATAGGCATCTTACTATTGCTGATTGGCATCGTTGGGTGTCTTCGGATGAAACAAGAATAAACCTTTGGGGCTCAGATGGTAATTCTTTTTACTGGACGAATGGTGGCCGAATCATGCAGTCGTATCAAGTCAAGTCTCAGTTGCAGGGAAATGACGGTGGGGTCATGTTCTGGAGTTGCATAACAGCGGAGGGGCCTGGTTATGGTACTACCATTATTGAAGACGCAATAAACTCGGGCTTGTATGTCGATATTTTGAAGACATCATTGAACGATACTCTTGAGCACTTTGGGAAGACACCATCTGATGTCCGATTTCAACAAGACAGAGCAACACCGCATACATCGGGCATTACTAAACAATGGTTCACCGAAAATGGGTTTAACCTAGACGAAATCATGGATTGGCCACCCCAAAGTCCCGATCTTAATCCCATTGAACATGTCTGGCATCTCCTAAAGCTTCGTCTTAATAAGTGTCCCACTAGGCCCTCAACAAAAGATGAATTAGAGCGGCGTATTAACATTCAGTGGTAAAAAATAACAGAAAAAGAGTGCCAGAAATATATTGATAGTATGCCTGCCCGAATCAAGGCTGTCATCAAGAGCAAAGGTGGTTCAACTCACTATTAATGATTTTATAATAAAATGTACATTTTTCTATATTTATTTTTTAACCAATAAAATCATTGGATTTTAGTTTTTGAAAAAGTTATAATTATGTATAGATAGCACTACTTTCTCTCATTCAAACGATATATATTTCGACTTTGTATACAAAGAAATGACCAAAAACTTGTGCAAAAAGACAAAATTTTAAACGAACGGGACAGTTTTTCCCCCTACAGTAATTACCATTTAGCACAAGTGAGGATTGACACTAGAACTTAGCATGAAAACATCATTCTAGACGGGTGGGTAAGCAATCCATAAATCATACATATAAATAGCAGTAGACATTCACCCTTCCCTTTTCTCTCCATCGGATTTTACTGAAATAAACTTATATCCATTCTCACGTACTTTCAGACATTTACAACAACTGTATTCCGTGCATTCGAGCAGATACATTACCTTGGAGCTTGGGGATCTGCGCAACATAAAATCAACACCAATCATGCTAAAATACTGTATAAGATTGTTTGTCTTTCTGGATATGTTGCTGGAAAAGGGAGAACTGAACATTGACGGCGACGTTGAAATAGAGCAAAAAGTTACATAGGCTGCAGACTGCCCTTTCAGAAGGTATCAGCCACCAAGAATGTGATCAATGCTGTATAAATAAAATCTATAAGGCAAAACATTACCAAGCTTGAATGCTTTCAGGCAATTATAACTTGAGATGTAGACCTTTATGAGCCACCAGAATGACGCCAAACAATTTTACTTGAGTAGTAGTAACTTTCTGGCACCTTTGCTCAACTTTTTGGGATAAAAAAAATCATGGCCAAAAATCGATCAAAAACCATGAGGGGTACTTCATTGTTTTTATCGAAAATCAAACGATCGCATTTTTGACCTTAAAAATGAAGACTTTTACTATCGTATATATTGAATCAAAATGTTTCTCTCAATACAAAGCAACTTCTGAAACCACTTTTATGAGGTTTTCATATGCAAAATTTTGACATTTTTGTTATATCAAATGTCATAGCAAGGTCTCACACTAAAGGTTTTAGGCTATTCTTAGGTCCTTTGGGTAAATCATGCTAATCATGATTTACAAATCAATTGTTGGGTAGATAGTAAACCTATTTGTATTATAGTTCATCATCATGCTGTAAACCCTAGCATAATGAAAAGCATATAAATGCATCCTTGGGATGCATTCTCAATAAAAGTGTAATTCTTTGGCAGATTCAATTTTACATTGTATTTTGACATAACACTTTTTTGAATCCCATAAATTTTTTACACTTACTACTATGAATAACGCAAACCCTACTACTGTTTCTGTTGGAGCTGGTGTTGGTCATCGCTCTGCATCGGGAGATGCAAGTTTTGGTTCTGGTTCATCTTTGTCGTCTCTACAAAATGAACATAGCAATGCATTGAGCAATGATGCTCTGCATAATGGTATTGATGCTTGTAGCGAAGACGCTCGCATTGATCAGGCATTGAGCGATGACGCTCTGTCAACTCTTGATAATGATACTATCATGAATGATAGTGGTGAGCTATTGGAATTTGATTTCGATAGTGAGATCCAACCCTTGGGAATGGATCATCAGGCTAGCATGGCCAGGGACATCAAGATGTTGAGGAGAAGGCTTTTTGAGGCTACAAGGCTGTCTATCACTATGCCTGAGGATGGCACGCTTGCATCCAATGCTGGGGCCCTGAAACGCCAATTGATCATGGCTAAGGAAAACTACGATTTGTTGTTTGATGATACTCCAATGCTCTCCCCATCTATGGCCTATTCCAATGCTGCTAATAGCATAGTACCTCCAGATACGCCATATATTCAATGGAAAGGACACAAGTTTAACAACAAGAAGTTTGTCTATCCTACCATGGATGCATGCCTTCAACAATTCCAGGATGTACTGGAGTCTCGTGGTGTGTCGATCGAAGCAAACTGGAAGAGAATTATTAAGCCGAAAATGTCCACGGGTATGTCTGCCTGGACAAGAGAAATCATACAAAAGTATCCCGAAATTACTTGGGGCCAGTTCAAGAGCAAGCTCAAGGTGAAATATAGCCCTTCGGAAGCAGAAGAAAGAAAAGCTGCACTCAATAAGCTAAAGACGCTTAAATTGGACAACTGTGACAATCTAGAAGACTTCATTGACAGGTTTAACTCCTTGAAGGACTTAGCGGGAGTCAAGGAAAATACGTCTCTTGTAGACTATCTGCTTCGTGGTCTGGATATCGACTTGTATGGACCGGTGTCTATGGGCATTTCACAAGCCCGTTCCAGGGGAAGCGACACTTTGGATTTTGCTATCTCACAGTTGCGCAGTGCCTACGATTTGTTGAGAAGAGATGATTATTATAGGCAGGAAAAGCAGAGAAAGGATGCTGAACTGAACAATAAGATCAAGGATGCGATCAAGGCACATCAGCGTGCTGAGGGCTCTGCTTCGTTGAGCAACAAGAAAACTCGTCGTGCTGGTCGCCGCCATGACAAGCAATCAAGAAAGAGGAATGATAGTCCTGGTGAAGTTCTTAAATGTTATGATTGTGGTTTCACACCATTTACGTATGCGCATAAGGCATTATGCAAGAAGAACCCCAAAAATATCAAAAAGATAACAAAGAAGAAGAGCAAGTTGATTGTGCCAAGACCTGCTTCCAATGATGATACTGATTCATCATCCTCTGATGAGGAAAGTGATCAAACTTTTGCTGTTGCCACAATTTCTACAAAGGACAAGCAAAAGGAGGAAGTCGTATCCATGGATACTGATAGTGAATGTAAGCATTTGAATAATGAATATTTCAAAAAGATGCCTAGTAATAACATGGACACTAATGGACTTCTTTATCTACCTGTGATATTAGAATCAAAGAGTGGTGTTAAGGTTAACACATGGTTTTTGTTGGACACTGGTTGTACATTTAGTGCAATCTCGCCCAAGTTACTTGATTTCATGCAATTAAATGTTGTAAATAAAAATGGTATTATTAAGCTGGCTCAAAGTAACACTGTTGTTAATCGTAAAGGACAAACTGAAGAGGAACTAAAGATCAATTATGGTTCCAAAGTTGTCTATTCCAAATTTGAAGTTTTTGACTTATTTGATGATGTCCATTGCGTGTTTGGCATGGATCTATTATATAAAGTTGGTATTACATTGGGTAATATTGCTGCAGATTGGTCTGATCGAATTGGATATGAGATTCCTGATATTGAACCCAATCCATACAAACCAAATGAGGATCCTTATGGATCTAAGGAAGAGCGTCAATTGATGATGAATGAACTACAGCCATTCATTGATGCAAACACTAGTATCAGCCCTAAAGCATATTGTAATTTGCCTGATAGCGAAATTAGATTGCCTATAAAGAAGGATACTCCACTTTCGGACACATGTCGAAGACAATTTCCAATTGCTGAAGCAATGCGACCTGTGATCCAAAAGCAAGTTGAGAAATGGCGTGAAAATGGTGTGATCAAACGAGCTAAACCTAATACACCTCATAACTCTCCCATTTTCACTGTACGCAAGAAGAACAGTGAGGGCGAATACACTGGTAAAGAGCACCGTGTAGTGATTGATTGTCGGTTGATTAATAATGCATTGGATCCAGAGAAGCTTGAACGTTTCCCATTGCCTTTGATAAGTGATTTACATCGTAAAATGTCGAAGCATTCCCTCTATACGGTAATCGACCTATCGCAATGTTTCCATGCATTTAAGGTAGCTAAGGCATCAAGACCTTATTTAACGTTTACCGACATGAATGGACTGACGTGGTCCTTCTCTCACTGCCCTTACGGATTAACTATGGTCTCATCTCATGCCCAGAAAATTCTTTCTAATTTGCTGGCTGATCTAAGTAATGTCTGTACACATTTCATCGACGATGTCACGATCCATACTGAAAACGACCTACAAAAGCATACAGAGGTTGTCAAAACAGTTATTGATCGTTTGACTAGAGCTAACTTACGTATCAACACGGAAAAGATGCATATTGCACAAAAGAGCATCTATATTTTGGGTTTCTGCCTATCTAGTAATGGACTAGCACTCGATCCACGAAAGGTTTCCAACGTATTGGATTGGGATCCTGTCGTAAAGAGTAGTCGTGAGCTGATGTCTCGCCTTGGATTGATCAATTTCTTTCGATCCAATTTACCTTGCTTGTCAAGATTGACAGCCCCACTAGATAAGCTTCGAAACGCACATGATATAACCAAAGTATGGAAGCCGGAACACACTGCATTGATGAAGCAGTTGCAGGAATTGTTAGTCAGCTCAGCAGTGTTGAGTGTGCCCAACTTGAATTATCCCATATGTGTTGTAACGGATAGCTCTGCATATGCAATTGGTGCTGCAATGTATCAAGTAATCAATAATAAAGTCAAGTATCTTGGTTTCATTGCACGCAGTTTGGGACCATCAGAGCAACGATGGGGAAGCTCCAAACGTGAATTAGCTGCTGTTGTGTACGCATTCAAAAAGTTCCATCAATGGTTGTATGGACGCCCATTTCATTTGTTTGTAGACAATCGCGGTATTTTGTTCTTACATACAAAACCTAAACTGGATAGAATGGTTGAGAACTACTATGATACTATCTTTGAAATGGATTTCGATATTACGTTTTGCAGTGGTATTAACAATATATTGGCGGATACGTTGTCGCGTCTTTTCTGGCCATACAATACGCTGGTGGAGAGTGGTAATACACGTTCCATCAAGGATCTCGACAGGGAGATATTGATTAAACAGGATATTGTTAAGCAAAAGGGTAATAAGAAGAGAAAGAATACTCATGATGATGAGGTAGTAGCAGCTACTAAGAACAAGAAGCAAAGAGTACTGAATGAAGAGGAAAAGGGGAAAAAAGATATCAAGGGAGCACAAGATAAGAACACAGTTTTATCATGTGAGTCTTCCAGCATCTCCAATTCCAGTAAAGTAATCATTCCAAATAAGACTTCTGATCTATTTAATAATTCTAAGTTGACAGCGTATGCGAATTCATTGAAAAGAAAGAATGAAGATTTTTACTTTTGCGTCAGTCATTTAGATGTTTATCAAACGCCTACAACTGATGAAGAGAAACAGAGCATATTAGAAAAATCTCATCTGCTAGGCCATTTCGGTATACATGCTATGGAGCAAGTAATACACCAAGATTTGAACATGCATTGGAAAGGGTTAAGAGAGGATATAACCCAGTACATCCGTAATTGCCACAAATGCAGACAGTTCAATCTAGCAAAGCATGTATATCATCCTCCAAAGCAAGAAGCGCCTGAAGGCATTATGGATCATGTTGTGTTTGATCTAGGTGGTTTCGATTGTACAACGCCTAGAGGCAACAATTTTATCCTTGTGGTATTGGATCTATTTTCACGTTTTATTGTACTGCGTGCTATTCCTGACAAGTCTGCTACGACTGTTGCAAAGGAATTAGTGTCCATATTTTCCCTGTTAGGCTACCCTAGGGTGGTAGGACATGATCGTGGAGCTGAATTTCACAATGTCCTGTTGGAAAAGATCCTGAAGCATGCAGGAGTGGAGAATAGAGCTAGTTTGGCCTTTACACCACAAGGCAACAGTTGCTGTGAAGCGGCAGTTAAGAATTGTAAGACAATCATCATGAAGATGTTGGAAGGTCGAAGTGAAGATTGGGATCTGTACCTGAATGGAACAGCCTTAAGCTTAAATGTTCACAGATCGAGATTACACGGAATGATGCCATTCGTAGTAATGTTCCACAGACTACCCAATGAGTTCAAGGATTATCGAGGAGATAAGCCTGTTCTTCATGAGAAAGAAATTGATGTGAAAGCATTCAAAGAGAAGCTAGATCTTATCGATAAAATCATTGTACCAGCAATCAGAGATCAGATAATGAAGACGCAAGATAAGGATAGTAAATACTTTAGAAAGAGACACAGAATCTTGGAAAATCCTTATCCTGTTGGATCTACTGTGATGATAAAGAATATTGAGAACAAGAACAGAAAGACGGATCCAAATTATGAAGGTCCATTTTACGTTCATGGTCATACTAGAAATGGAAGCTATATTCTTACTGATAGAACAAACTCGTTCTTAGCTAGAGATGTACCTACGCAGCAAATCAAGTTGATTAGCACAAGTGATACTAGAGACAATCCTTCAAATGCGTATGTCGTCGAAGCTATTATCAATCACAAAGGTAGCGCACCCAATTACAAGTATTTGGTAAAATGGAAAGGTTATAGTGAAGATTGGAATTCATGGGAACCTCCATCTATGTTTGATTCTCCTGATGTGGTCAAGCAGTACTGGGCGCGAGTAAATGCTAATAATAGCAAGACATCTAAGGGCAAGGCACCGAAAGCTCTGAGTACCCGAGAGATTGCTACGCGAGAGACTAAATCAAGAAATAAGCGCGAAAGGTTATTAGCTAAAGATGATGTATAATTGTTTGGTGAAAGGCTATACCTTTTCCTGTTCACAGTTCCTTTTGTCCCATCGGGTTTTGGATGTGTATAGGTTTTTAACGGTTGCCCTAATGATTAATTATCTATACCAATAATCTATACATAAGTTATATATGCAATTCATGTTTACTATACATAAGATTAATCAAGCAGTAACATGCACCAGATTGTCATATATTAATGATGGTTTTCTTTTTTTTTTTTTTTTCTTTTTTTGTTATGTCGGCCTATTATATACTATATGAACTACTACAACTACAATCTACTACAACAATGGTTATGTCCAAGTTTCGCATGTGTCTTATGCTGGTGTGGGGTGGTGTTATATCAAATGTCATAGCAAGGTCTCACACTAAAGGTTTTAGGCTATTCTTAGGTCCTTTGGGTAAATCATGCTAATCATGATTTACAAATCAATTGTTGGGTAGATAGTAAACCTATTTGTATTATAGTTCATCATCATGCTGTAAACCCTAGCATAATGAAAAGCATATAAATGCATCCTTGGGATGCATTCTCAATAAAAGTGTAATTCTTTGGCAGATTCAATTTTACATTGTATTTTGACATAACAATTTTGGCCAAAAACTTTATTTCACATTTTGCCAAATTGCTCAATACTTTCACTCAAAACACCCATTACAATTAGCACCACTGGAAGCGCCTAAAAAAGTACTCCAAGAATGTATTAGGAAGCATCGGGTGATCATCACAGTTCATATAGTCGAGTATTAAAAAATAGATTAAAGAGGTCGACAAAAGACAACATTTGGCCAATCCTGAACAGAAAAAATAAGCTGAGTTTGAATGAGTTTTGGCGGCGGCGGCAGGCGAAGCTGCTGCTGGCTGCCCTAAATGCCTTTCTAATGTTGACAAGGATGATGGCAAGGATGATCGCGATACTGATTAAATGGGAATCTTGGAATTGACAGGACAATTGCTTAGGCAGAATAACTTTTTTTTTCTTGAGAGTTTTTTCCCTATGAAGATGCCTTTTGCAATAACAATATCTCAAAAAAATCGCTACAGATCTCACGCAAGTCCTGCATTTACACCTGGCCAGCTTTATGTCGCCATATCAAGAGAAATATCAGTGAATGGATACCTTCCCTCCGACCCTGATATAGCCTTTTTGTTTGCTACTAAGTGATTGTTTAAAATCTACTTGATATGCCAGATTTTTAGTATCTCTGATTTGGAATATTTTCGTCGAGAGCCCGCAGGGCGATGCCGTCATCGAGAATAGCGAGATTGATCGGCTAACGTAGAAATATACAAAATCAGGAGCTTTTGCGGAATATAAAGTTTGTGATTCTATTCTTTTTGTCAAGATGTCAGTTTCAAATGGAGTAAATGTAAAGTTGATTCCCAATCAAGATATATATATCGTATTGTAGGTAGATTAGGCTTTTGAAATGCACTGGATCAGCTAACACGAACTTTGCATAATGTTTTTCTGTAGAATATATCTATTGCAAAGATATGTTAGGATATCACCCAAACCCAAGGTTTGCAAAAACGCCTCAGACCAGTGGCCCCTGAAAGGTCAGTGGCGACTCGATTAGGTTCTGCGACCATTGTTTTTCAAAACGTGGTCGCGTGAGTATGGAAATTCAACCACATTTGAAGGGCAGCGATTGCGCGGGCGATGACCTATCAAGATTAATCTAGTGTATTCAAATTATACAGTATCAAGGCTTCTTATATCAAGATCAATCGTGACCAGAAGTAGTCCCAAATGATAGCCATCAGCACAACCTCCCCAGCAGCGCATAAACCTACTGGAGCAGTGTCATCATCGTGTGTGATTAGACCTCCCTCTTGTGTACTAAATGTGTGGGATCGCATCTATATACCAACGTCATCCAAGATGTTTCTGATTTCTGCAAAACAAACACAAATGATACATGTACATTTCATTAAAAATGTTTTAGAGCGACCAACTCAAATGAACATTTAAGCAATTTCATCAGCCACAGAAAGCCTCTCCATTCTAATCCAAATAAGCTTTCCAATGAGAACCTTTGGGTGGCCATCTACTGTACATTTTGCCAAAAATGTTTGGCCAAAGCTTATTGCATTTGCCTTGTGCGACAACTCTAACGGAAAACTTTAGAACTCTAAAAAATTATTTCTCGTCGCACCACCTCTTTTCTTCTTCCTATTGTTCTGTGCAAAAGAAAAAAATGGCCACAGTAGCAATTAACGCAAGGAAATCACGGCCCCTTGGTTTGCTTGAGAAATATCAGCTCTCCAAGCAGTTAACCAAAGCGTATGGTAACATTACGTTGACAGCCGAGCTTGAACATCCTGTTCTTTATCACGACACCATGCTAGCTAATGATCAAGAAAAATTGTACCAGCACAGCTTTGCTCCAGCCCTCACGTGTTTGGTGCAAACACATCCCCATCTATCATTAACTGTGCGTGACAAGACAGAAAGCACAGCTCATTTCGTTCAGCTGGATACAATCAACCTGGCAGACAACGTGCAATTGACCGACATCGCATCATTGCAAGACCTCATTGCAGAGCAAACAGGCGCCGAATTCGATGTGGATACATTGCTTCCTCTTTGGCGTATAAAGATCATGCCTCAAACATCTACTAGTTGCATTGTTGTATTGGCTGTACATCACATCATTTTCGATGGCATGAGCTTGACGACTTTCTGGGGCGATTTCTTGAAGAAGCTGAATGCCAAGCAGGAATCTCAAATGGTTGACAAGGAGGAAGGCTTGATCATTCGTGTAAAGGAAGCAACAGTGCCTCTTCCTTATGAGGCATCAGGTGCTCCTTCTTTGTCCCTTACTTGGGATGTTGTTCCTGTTTTGTGCCATTCTTTGATTCCCAAGTTATTGCCGACTGCAATTGCTCGTTATGTCGATCCTGTGTCTTATGATGGTTGGAAAGGAGACTTTGCTGCAATTGATGGCGAGGCACACAATACGGATGTGCGATTGATCTCTGTGCCTTGTGACATTTGGAAACCCATCATGAATGAGTGCAAGCGTCAAGGCATCTCCGTTCATGCCATCTTGTTCATGGCCCTAATGTTGACATGGAAACGCTTGTATCCTGACCAAACAACCGAAGCGTCTACTCCGATCAATTGCCGTGGATTGTGCAACCCACCTGTTCCTAACAACCAGATAGGCAACTTTGTAGGTGCTTACACGAGTATTTGGACAGGAAAGCAATTACAACAAGACATTTGGTTATTGGCTAAAAAGTACCACAATGATTTGAACAAAAACAAGATAGATGGAGCCAAGCAACCATTGTTTCTCAAGTACCTGCCTGAATTCCCGGCATCCTACTGTGATTTCTGGTATGATAAGAGAAAGAACTCTGCAATGGGTAGAGCAGGTGGCATCGAGTTATCTGATCTGGGAAGATTTTCATGTCCTTCTCAGCAAGACACCGCTTGGAAAGTCAAGCAAATGTATTTCTGCCAGAGCGCCCAGACATTTACCAATGCATTTCACTTGAACTCAGTGACCACAAATGACACCTTGTTCTGTACTGTATCTTGGCAAAAGGGCTCACTAGATACTGCTAAGATCAACAAATTTCATGATACCTTTATTGGCATTTTAAAGAATCTTCCTTTGAAAGAATTAATAAATTAATGTTGTACTATTACAACGCACCCTTTTATATATATTTTTTGTGCCGGAGACCGTAAAAATGGCTAAAAATTCTTGTTGGGAGTATTCTCCCTTTTTCTTTTCTTTTACATAACTTTTTCTTGTTTAATATAATATAATATAGCACAATGCAAACCATTAAATGTGTTGTCGTTGGTGATGGTGCCGTTGGTAAAGTAAGTTTTCTATCACTCATTGCTCTCGTTTGCAAGAAATTTGTCCTTGATTGCTGAATCTCATTTCCAATAGACATGTCTTTTGATATCATACACAACCAACAAATTTCCTTCTGAATATGTTCCTACTGTAGGGCGAGATAATAATGACACATATACACACATGCACGCGTATTTATTTCATGTATTTCGAACCTAGGTTTTTGATAATTACGCTGTTACTGTGATGATTGGAGAAGAACCCTACACATTGGGTTTATTTGATACCGCAGGTCAAGAAGATTACGATCGTCTGCGTCCTTTATCCTACCCTCAGACGGATGTTTTCCTTGTCTGTTTCTCAGTAACCTCACCTGCATCCTTTGAAAATGTAAAAGAAAAGTGGTTCCCTGAAGTTCACCATCATTGTCCTGGTGTACCTTGTTTGATTGTAGGCACACAAATCGATTTACGTCAAGATCCTGCCGTTTTGGAGAAACTCACAAGACAAAAGCAAAGACCCATCGCCTTTGATGCTGGTGAGAGATTGGCTCGTGAATTAGGTGCTGTTAAATACGTTGAATGCTCTGCACTGACACAAAAGGGTTTAAAAAATGTATTTGACGAAGCTATTGTTGCTGCACTAGAGCCTCCTGTCAAGAAGAAGTCAAAGAAATGTAGCATCTTGTAATTGGAAAGATTAAAAAAGGGAAAGAGAACGAGAAACACAGGAAGAGAACACATAGAGTGAAAGTATATGATGAAAAGAAGAAGGGGAGAGCAACTGCAATACTCTGTTGATGTCCTCTTTTCTTTTGGATCTTTTTTTTATCTCTTTTTACTTTTTTTACTTCATTTAATATCTTTGATTAATAAAGCTCATATAAACATCTCAGTAGTAGCAAATGTGCACATACACATCAGGGTGCTCTCCAATTTAGAAACATTGTAAACAACCTCATTATCTTTGAATTCACATTTCCACGTGTAACATGAGTGAATACGATATTTCATCATCATCGCTCTTGGAAACAACCAACTGTAATTTGGTACCATATGGCCTGTCTTGCCTCTGATACGTGCTCTGGTTCGAGTATTTCAAAGATGCATTACAGGAGTTGATCGTTGCCATGGCAACATATCACTGCATATACAGCAACATGCGGCAATCTAAACCGAAATCAAATCATCATTCGCTTGCATTCATCTGATGATGGCATCCCATACCATCCATAATCAAGAAGCACCACACATCTGGACTACCTTTTGTCCGAGCCGCAGGATCTGTAGCAGACTTTTTTCCATATAGCCTAGCTAAAATTTCTTCCCTTTCTTTTTCCTTCTCTCATTTTGTTTTCTTTCGAAATATCAAAGGGAAATATATATTCACATATACAAAATGGCATCATCAAGAGTTTATATTGGTCGACTTGCTCGTGATGCTACCAAGCGCGATCTTGAGCGTTTGTTCAAGAACTATGGTGACATTCGTGAAATCAATGTAAAGACTGGCTTTGGCTTTGTTGAATTCAGTGATGAAAGAGATGCCAAGGATGTTGTCTATGATTTCCACGGCAAAAGTTTCCTTGGTGAACGGTAACGGAACGAATGCAAATATGTCTAGATTAGCAGCTCATATCTCGTTGTAGTTTGATTGTCGAAATCGCTCGTGGTGCTCGTCGTAATGATGAAAGACGCAACAATGGCAATGACCGGTAAAAATGGAATTCTAATGTGGCACTGCCAAAAAAAAAAGGCTAATTTTGACATGATGGATAGTCGTCGCTCTCATTACAGATTGATCGTTGAGAACATTGCTTCTGGAACAAACTGGCAGGTACGCATCGTTTCTTCTTCCCAAAGAAGCCCATCATACACATAAACATTATCCCCTCCTCTCTGTCTTTGTCTGTTACTGGATTCTCATCATGCCGCTGGCTTTGTCCTTCTTCTTTTTCTTCTACTATTTCGGAAATTACCACTCCATAGGATCTCAAGGATATGATGCGCAAAGCTGGTGAGGTTACTTTTGCTGACATTTCTCGTGATCGTCCTACCGAAGGGTAAATTAGATACCACTAACATTTTGATCTAATATCTATACAAGAAAAGCAACATTTAGAAACTAATTACCCTTTTCACGCTAGTATTGTTGAATTTGCCGTTCGTGATGATATGGAATATGCTTTGAAAAAGTTGAATGATCGTGAATTGAACGGTCAGCGTGTTACTCTTCGCGAGGTATGTGTTTTACAGTGGATTTGTGCGGTTCAATGGATGGCGTCTAATTTGTACATGTTTGCAGGATACTGGCCGTAATGATAGAAGCAGTGGTCGCTCTTCTGCTCGTCGCTCTCGTTCGCAATCCAAGTCTCGCTCTCGCAGCCCTCCTCGCCGCCGCAGACGCTCTCCCTCTGAGTCTCGTAGCCGTAGTCCTCCTCGTCGTAGAAGACGTTCTCCCTCTCAATCTCGCTCTCGCTCTGCCTCCAGATCCAGATCTCCTCCTCGCAAGAGAGAGAAGCGTGATTCCTCTGATCGTGAAGATAGCCGTGACAGAAGAAGAAACAAGTCTGAATCAAGATCCAGATCTCGTTCTCCTGCCAAGTCTGCTGGTTCCGCTCAGTCCCCTGCTAGATCTCCTGCTCAATCTCCCGCTCGTAGTGAGGGAAGGTAAGTTGGTATGATATGTTAACGCAGAGCTAGATTACTCACAAATGATGATTGCAGTGCTCCTAGAGAAGATTAAGCTTTGTGTACAAGAAACAGATTCAAAACTCTCAAACAATATTTACATAAAAATCTCTTTCCATCACTTTTATTGTCCAACATCAAAAAAAACCTTAAAAAATAAAAACTCGACCTTTCTTCAGCTGGAAAAATGTTTTCGAATTACTTGAATCGACTGTAAAAAACAATTTGACTGAATCTGCATGTTTATTGTACAACTGACAGATTGAGATGTAGTTACCCGTTTCAGTCGTTGAAATTGATCGCAAAGACAGCCACCGCATCTGCTAACAGCGTTATTAAGTCATCACCCCTGGCAAAAAAGGATGCAGTATCAACAGTGGAATCCGTCCTGACAAGCATCGACAAATCTGCCATCGACTTCACTGTGAAAAGAAAGACATCTAGTATACCCGATGCAGGTTTGTGGGTACACTTTACTAGATAAGCAGCGTACTGATGATGGGAATCTCAAAGGCTTAGGCGTCTATCTACATGGTTCTACTCAACAGAAGGGATCCATCGTTTGCTTCTATCCAGGAGCACTGTATATGCCATCAGAACCTATTCTGTTTGTCAGCATTGCGAATCAATACATTCTCAAATGTGTTGATGGTATCTATGTCGATGGTAAACCAAAAGGATTGTCGAAAAAAGTGTACAAATCACTGTACAGAAGAGAAAACTGGCCAGGAGCAATACAAGTTAGCGATTGGACATGGATGAGTGAGGATGATACAAGACTGAGGTACTACAAGCAACTGCCATGCAGTTTAGATGGCTAATATGTATACTATCAGCAACCCTCTAGCTATAGGACAATATGTAAACAACGGCACACCAACACATAAAGCAAATGGTACAGTCAATGGGTGAAAATTTTATAGCTCTTTCTTATACATGTATATAGTTTGCTATCAAGAAATAGACCTTCCGCCTACATTTCCACACAAACTGAGGCGACTCATACCTAACATGTATTGGGATGCTTGCCACAATCCATTATCAAGAGAAATGCGAGTGGTGGCTCTAGTAGCTTTACGAGATATTCAAGATGGCGAAGAATTGCTCTCTACATATATGGATGTTGTCTAAAGAAGCTCTATATACTATTCAATTTTAACTCTCTTTTTCTTGAAACATTCAAATGATAGTACTGAAAGTCGAATAAATCAGACCTGTCGAATTCCATCCAGCTGATTCATCCCGTATGTGTAAATGAATGCTAAAGAGCTAATGTAGCTGTAACCTGAACGCTGTAGTCTAAGCTTCTGATACTGGATTTAACAAAAAAAAATATCTTTGCACGTCTATATAGCGTAAGTGAGTTGCAGTTCTCTAGATCTGCTGTCTTGCTCCATGAATGACTGATACTGTGGCAAAAATGACCAATTATGGAAGAGAGAGCATACTAGACAATGCTGCGAAAGCTGCAGCGGTTACATCCAATGTACTAGCTGATATTGTACACTGAGATTTAGTCTGAATTGATTCCATTTCCAAAAGAGATGCCAGTAAACCTAGCAGCATGTGCTTAGATGTACTGAGATGAATCACGCTGCTTATTAAACGCACTGAATCACGACTTTGACCAGCGTGGTACCTTTTAGCTCTGTTTTGCTGTATCAAGAAGTGTCCCTAGTTGTAATATTTAGAAAGATCAGCCACTTTATATCCTTTCTGTTCTTAGATAACGGAAAACGCACCTATTTAAGAGCGTGCTTGATTTCGAACATTCACATTCATCCTTTTTTATCATATTGAGAGCAGACTTTTCAAAAAAGACCTAAAGTCTATCTTCTGTCTACTCATGATTAATTCAAGTCGTTTCGCACTAAAGAATATACTAAAGCTACATAAAAGCTCACAGCGACTACAAAGATATGGAGTAGGTGATGGTTGTCCTGACACATGAATTTTGTCTCACTGTCTTTAACTTGACATAGCTTGCACAACTTTCGGTATGATGCACATGCCGTTTATTATACGCATAGCTAAATGAACAGCTTCACGTACCTGCAGAGCAACTCCCCATCTTCCTCAGTTCTTGTCACGGAAAAGCAAAACAATAGTATTTTGATGACATTAAACAGACCCAAAAGCTTCAATGCTGTCAATGCAGAGATGGTTTCCATAATCTACTCTAATTTAAAGGCTATTGAAACAAGTCCTGATGCGATAGATATGGTCATCCTCAAGGGTGCTGGAAAAGCTTTTTCGTCAGGTGGAGATGTCAAAAGTATGTATGCAAAGACAAAGATGTTGATTTCCAGTATATTGATGTTAAACAGCTTTTCTTAATGGCATGCAACTACCTGAAAAATTTGAGGATTTGAACACGCTGCTAGACAATACGTACAAATCGCTATTCAGACTTTCAACGTTGAAGGTATCTACTGTATCCTTGATGAACGGGCTCACAGGTAAGATGCATTAGAATTCAAGAGATGTTTCCAAACTGACATGGAAGATAACTATAGTTGGACTCGGTGCTGGTTTTGGTTATTGCACAGATTTCAGAATCGCAACTGAAAATACATTGCTGCTTATGCCAGAGACAACAATTGGACATTTCTGTGATGTATCAAGCAGTTATTATTTATCCCGTTTACGAGGCTACTATGGTAGATATCTAACATTGTGTGCCGAGAGAGTCAAAACAGAGGATCTTTTGTAAGTACAAGGTTGTGCAGACACTATAAGATTCAACTTTTCATACTACCTTACTAGACACGCAGGAATCATCACCCATTTTGTTCCCTCCAATAGACTTGACTCTATGGTGAGTCAATTGACAGGTTTGCAATCTCCAAACTCAAGCGCTATCAATCAAGAAATCAGCAATTTTACAGAGGACTTACCTACTGAGGTTCGACTCACCACAACCCCAGATATTTCGCAATTAGAGAAACAAACTATTATAGAAAATTGCTTCAAATATGATACTGTTGAAGAGATTATCAGTGCACTCGAGTTGGAAGGATCGAAATTTGCATTGCATTGCAAAAACAAGATACTATCGGCGTCACCAACAGCCGTCAAAATTACTCTGGAGCTGCTTTGCAGAGCATCAACCTTGTCTTTGGCTGAATGTCTCGTATTAGAACGCCAATTATGGGTCACTGATATAGTAAGTGCCTTGTCAAATGTAACATAAAGACCCTAAAGTTCTCTCTCTGTAGGGTACGCATGATTTTGTGGAAGGATGCCAATCAATGTTGGAAAAGAGACCTCCTAGATGGTGTCCACAGCAACTACAAAACTGCCAAGCACATTTAGAACGTTTTGAGCAAGCAAAATCCATTGCACCGCTTGATCTGAGGGTCTGATGCACAGAATAATTCCAACTAAATAAAATAGACACTGTTATCAATATACCTTAGCAAATATATGTAGGATACACAGCCAAACTTGACAACTCTCAAGCCTTAATATCTTGGCATGTGGACCTTTCTGAGCCACTGGAATGATGCCAAACAATTGTATTCGAATAGCAGTAAATTTCTAACAACTTTGCTCAACGTTTTAAGGACCCAAAAACATGGCCAGAAAATCGACTCCTAACCATGAGGTACCCCTCATAGTTTCCATTGAAAATCAAACGATCGCTTTTTTCACCTTGAAGATGAAGACTTTTACTAAGGTATATATTAATTCAAAACGTTTCTCTCGATCCAAAGCAACCTCTGAAACTATTCTTATGAGGCTTACATATACAAAATCTAAATATTTTTGCTAAAGCCGTCATTTCGTATTTTACTGAATTGCTCAAAATTTTTGTTCAAAACGCCCATTACAATTAGCACCACTGGAAGCGCATAAAAAAGTACTACAAGAATGCATTAGGAAGTACCGACTAATCATCACATTTTATATAGTCGAATCTTTCAAAATAATTCAAAGAAGTCGAAAAAGGGCAAAATTTGGCCAATTCTGAACAAAAACATGTATTGTTCAGGAATAAAGGGACCACTATAATATGTAGGAAGAAGAAAGACTGACGTTTATTGATGTGGATGCTTGGATCTTTATACCATTGATATGGTGTTACACGACATCCCACCGCTGTGATAAGATATAGAATTTAAATAAGGACTATGATATAAATGTATGAATGAAAATCGCGTTAAAAAACCTAATATAGGAAAAAGCTTGATGATAGGTAGAAGTTGATCAGTGAGATGGTTTCAGAAAAGACACATGGGTGTTTTTGTGTTTTTGACCTGTGGCATCATTGATTACATCGTATCTTGTGGTGGACAGGACCTTCTGTATTGTGCAAGGACCTATCCAATCTACTTGTAGTTTTCTTGGATTGTTGCGAGTGGAAATACGATTGTTGAAAATGTATACTTTGTCATTGATTTCAAATTGTGGTGTTAGTTTTTGATTATCATATATTTTCTCCAAATGTTTGTGTACATGTTCAAATGTAACTTGAAGCTTGATTTGTAACTGTTTCGCGAAGTGTGATTCCGGGGTGTCTTGTTCATTGTATGAATCCGGTAATTTCTCTGGTATTATCGTTGATAATGGTGTGCGTGCTGTGCGCCCGTGGACCAACTCAAATGGGGACGTCTTGATAGAATGGTGATACATATTGTTGTATACAAATCGAATTATCCTCAAGTTGCTGCTCCATCTTGTAGAAATCTGGTTGATATCCGTGTATGATAAAATCATTGTTCGTAGTGTTTTCATGAATCGTTCCACTATCCCGTTGGATGATGGATGATACGGCGGTGTGTATACGATGTTGATGTCTACATATCTTGCTACTTGCTGGGTGAATTGTGATCCAAGGCTGTTTCCGTTATCACACATGATCTCGTTGGGAACGCCATGTCGCAATATAAACTGAGTGTACATGATGGAAGCCAATTCTTGAGATGCTGTAGACCTGGTAGGATATAGTTCTACGTATTTTGTGAATGTGTCTATAACCACCAACACGTATTGATGTCCCGCGCTTGACGTTGGCAGAGGACCAAAGTAGTCGATTGCGACCTTGATGAACGGAGCTGTTCCATGGGTAGTGGTCATATTATGCTTAGTAGCAACATGTCCCTTGATTCTTTGACAAATTTGACACTTCTGAATATAGGCATTGATATCATGAGTCATGTTGGTCCAGTACAAGTGCGCTTTTACCAAGGAAGCCTTGGTCTTGGCGATACCGCCATGTCCTGCAAACTTGGAGTCATGATGTTTGCTGATCAGATTCGCTACCAGATGGCTAGGTACCATTATGTACATGTCTGTGGCTATGGTCTTGTGCTGTTTGTTTTCTACCTTGTATAGTATGCCATCGACGACTTTATGCTTGGAGTACTTGACATTCGTGTTGTTAAAGTATGGTCGTAACATGGGATCCAGTCTTTGTTCCTTGGCCCAATCGATGTCCGGATGATGAGAGGCAATTGCATGAATCGCAGCACGAGATAGTGTATCCGCAGCATGGTTCACCTTTCCAGGTATGTATATGACCTTGAAATCATAAGCCTGTAGAAAGAGGCACCATCGCCAAAGTCTGGGTTGTTTGTCCGCATCGGTATTAAGAAGCCACTGGAGGGATGAATGGTCAGTGAATACGGTAAATTGGTTGCATTCAAGATACATTCTAAATTTCTTAACCCCAAAGATGATGGCTAAAGCTTCCAATTCACGGATGGAGTAGTTTTTTTCAAACTTGGTGACACTGCGGGATGCGAAGGAGAGAGGGTAAGGTGTGTCATCGTACCGTTGGCAGAGTATGACAGCAATGCCTGCTGAGGTGGCAGCATCGCAATGAAGCTCGAATGGAAGTTTGAAATTGGGTTGTTTCAAGTAAGGTAATGCAGCGAGAGACCTTTTGAGTTCTTGAAACGCGTGCTCCTGTTCGGATTCCCAAGCGAATGGTACATCTTTGATCTTCAAGCGTCGAATTGGTTCCACCATTACTTGATACTTGGATATAAACTTGGAATACACTCCTGCCATGCCGAGTAACCTTTCAACCTCTTTTATATTTGTGGGAGCCCGTAGATTAGTGATAGGTGTAACTTTATCCATGTCAGCATGGACACCCTGATCAGAGACAATGAAACCTAAGAAATTGATTTGATTTAGCCCAAATTGGCACTTTTCAATGTTGATGGTCAAATTGGCTTCCCTCAGTCTCGTTAGGAGTTTGCGTAACTGGAGCACATGATTGTCAAAGGTATCAGAGAACAGTATGGTGTCGTCTTGATAAGCGATAGCAGTTCTGTATCTCATGTCCCCGAGTACCTGATCCATTAATAATTGAAAGTGTGCTGGGGCATTTTTCATCCCCATGGCCATCGTGTTAAAAACATATGTAGAGTTAGGTGTTACCAGGGCACTCTTGGGCTTGTCAGCAGCAGCAATGGGAATTTGAAAATAGCCTGACAGGAGATCTATTTTTGAAAAATATTTTGCGTTGCCCAGAGACTGCAGTGCATGATGGAGGTTGATAAACGGATACTTGATAGTCTTTGTGATCGCATTTAGTTTGACGTAGTTTCCGCATATGCGAAGAGAGCCGTTTGGCTTAGGGACCGCTGTTACTGGGAAGCCCCAATCCGTGAAGTTGACTTTGCTGACAATTCCATTGCGTTCCAGTTCAGAGAGCTTGGCGTCGATCTTCGATTGTATGTCAGGATGGTAATGTCTTGGTCGAATGTAAATGGGAGGATGGTCTCCCGTGTCGATGGTGAATTCCATTTTGGTAGTAACTGAGGGCTTGTCCGAGTCTTTGCGTAATAATTCTTTGAACTCTTGTAATACATCTTGTATCCGAGCATCTTGGGAATCGGTTAATTGGATGTTACAACGCCTCGTAGCTGTGGTCTCGTAATGTAAGTTTATAAGATGATTGTCAGTTTGTAGTGTGAACATTTTGAGTTTAGTATTCATATTGACCTGAAATCTGCACATGAAATCCCAGCCGATGATAGCCTGACGAGCCAAACCGCGTATAACATGAAATTTCGTTTCGTAACCAAAAAGATTCAATTTAGTAATACCCATCGTTTGTGCTGTACGATTGTTCACGTCTGTGTAACTGATGATCTGATTGTTGTCTATTGTCAACTGCAGTGTAACGCATGTGTCATAATCCATGGCAGTGATAGCAGAACCTGTGTCCCATAATGCATGAATAGTGTGATCTCCAATGACGATTTTAGTTGTGGGAGTGAAACTGTCATGTTGAGTGGTTCGAATAGCATGCATGGAAGTAGCACGAATGTGATTAAGAGGAACCGGGGACCCCAATTCCATTAATCCTGAGTCATCCTCTGGGTGTTCAATAGTGTCTGTCTGATGCACAGAGGATGCCTGTGTGGGACATTCGTAATTTCGATGTTCGCCGAAGCAGTGACCGCAGACAGGATGTCCTTGTTTGTTGTATAATCGAGGTACAGGATCCGGAGGAAATCGTGAACGAGGTTTGGAATTGAATGACTTTTTGCTATTTCTGAATGGTCTTTTAGTACTTTTGTCTTTGTACGAGTTTGAGCTATTAACATAATCAACTTCCATTGGGTCATCCATCGTGGATTGAGTGTGGGATCCCGATAAGTGTGCTTGTTCATCAGTATTATCATTGAGCCTAGCCTTGTGTTCAAAATCGATGGCCTTCGTGATAACTTCTTGCACCGTTGTGACCTTAGCGAGTTCTACATACGCTGTTAATGTAGCACGTAATCCTCTGTCGTGTAGCGATTGAGTAAATAAAGATATTTGATGAGCATCCGAGATATGATTATCCGGCAGCAGACTTAGCAAATGTTTCCATTTAGCACTATGTAGTTTGATGGACTCCTGCTTGGGTTGTTGACATCGCTTCAAATTGGACTTGAACTCTCGATATTCCTCGTCGGCAGGACGACCAAATTGTAACAGCATTTGTTCAGTTACGTTGGCCCAGTTTTGTCTGACTGAGGAAGGTAAGGTAGGTAACCAGTTTTTGATGACGGGAGGCATGAAGCGACCTAGTTGGACGGTACAGATATCCATGTTTTCAATGCCTACGAAATTTGCCTGTAATTCAAATTCTTTGATGTAGGTACGTAAGCTAGAATGCAATTCATACCGTGGCATGTCAATAGACTTGACCTTTTCAAGGTTCATGTATTGGATGAACTCCTTGGTGTTGGAATCGGCCATGTTAACGGACTGTGGGGTGGTGTGATAAGATGATGTGATAGACGAGGTACTGTTTGTTGTGGTGTAAACCTTTCGAAGGGATGCGATAAATTTTACTTGCTGCGTGAAGTAGTTTTTTGGTTCTGTTGTTCGGGCCTGTTTGCGAGTAGGTGATTGCAGC